CAGCGTGGGCTCAATTCGTGCCCCAAAAGCTCTGCCCAAAGCGCTCTGCAGAACATCAATTCTTGCTCGGCTTCAGACAAGGCCTGGATCTCCGCGGAGAGGCTGCTGCGTGCCACACGATGCAGTTTACCACTTTTCCACGACACCAAGTTGACAGGTCCACGAACACCTTGCAGAAGAGAACGATGAGCGAGTGCAATCACGTGGCCACCTGTGCTGGTCATGTCGGGTCGGTTTCCTACCGCAGCATCTGACCAACCAACCATCACGAGATCCTCCTCAATGGTTGTTCTCAGAGGCTGCACAGACACGGACAGTCCACGACATTGATACACTTCGCGACACAGCTTGTTGATGTGCCTGATGGTGTCCTTGTTCCCATGTGGAAGGGCACTCTGCAACCATGACAGCTTGGCGCAATGCTGTGGGGCTGTTTGAATAGCCCTCCACTGCACGGCGCCCAAAAGTGCCTTACACTGTGAACGCTCACCTACGGTGATCTCCGGAACTCCCTCATCAATGACCACTTGCTTGAGCTCAGTGCAGTACGCAGAGTGGTCGAGCTTGAAGCCAAAATCCGGGGTCTGGGTGATGCCGACGCCACAGTGCACGAAGGGGGTTTCCTCCCATGGGCTCCAAGAAAAACTGCTTCTGAACTTCTCTAAGGAGGCCAACCACTTCGGGTGAGACTCGTCGCCCATGATCAGGAAGTCATCTACATGCGACCCAATGACACCAATGGTGCGGCCTTGATCTCGTAGAACCCAAATGCATGGTTCACACCGAAGACGAGACATGCCACAGTCTTGCTCTAGAACATGGGCCACATCCAGGTACCATTCACGGGGTGCTGATGCAAGCCCATATGCTGCTTTCAGTAGCTTCACTGCTTGACCAACAGGAATCTGAAGTGCAGTCGCGAGCTCAGGGACCGGAATGGCGTAGATGTCCCGCGTTCGCTGCGACTCTGAACCTTGAAGAAAAGCACTCTTCGCATCTGCTTTCCTGCAGGTCCAACGCTTGAAGGTTCCCAGGTTCAGCAGGAGTTGCCGTCCACGTCGTGAAAGTGTGGGGGCACTAGTCATCAGCTCCTCCAACTCTGAATCTGAATAGCCTAAAAGCACAATGCGTGCTTTTGCTTTGACTTCATGCTCATTCTCGGTGCCCTTGAAGGTGAGGACCCACCGCATGCGCATGAGCCTTTCAGCTGGGATCTTCTCGCTGAGGGCTTGACAGACCTTGCGCGTCACCCACTGATCCACTTCCAGCTGCTTTGCTTCTGCCATGGCTTTCCGCTGCGTGGGGTCTAGCCGGCCCCAGGACACTTCCGCGCCCTTCTCGACACTCTTGGCCGTGAACTTCTTCGGATCCTTCAGGATCTTACGCCACTCACGTTCATCTGAAGGTGTCGGGATGGTGACACCAAAGACGCAGCTGTCAAGGTCCTCCTCCGTGGCAAGATACAGAGCTTGAGATGAACTTGACGGCTGCTTGCGAACATGTAGAGGTCGTTCACTAATTTGATGTGCTGCACGTTTGGCCAAGAATTCCGCACGATCATGTTCAGGATCAGGACCGGTTGGAACTGACGACAAAGGCATGTAGGAAGGATCACAAAGAAGTCGGTCGAGATCAACTTCATCCACAGGAAGTAGAGATGCTTGCCGACTTTCTGGGTCAGGAGAGATAGGTCTCTTTCGGGACGAAGGGTCCTCAATCAGCTCTTCATCAGAGTCCTCCGCAATTCCAGGTGGTTGTTCATGAGGTAGGGCTCGGCGCTCTTCGCGAGCTCGGCTCCGGCTCCGACCACGAAGTTCATTCCTGGGTTTGAAATTGGCTTTCGAGTGAGGTCGTCGTACTGGCCTTTCTTCATCAACTCGGTGAGAGAACTGAAAGTCCAGGGCAAAGTAACTATGCCAGTGGCCTCAGCTATGAGCTTCTCTCTCTCGGAGGCGTGCCGCAGTTGGTCAGCATGGATCTTCTTGAGGCGTCCTTGAGAAATGATCCAGACGCTGGTAGAAGGCAGACGTCGGCTACCTTCTTCATGAACCTTGGTCTCGGCGGCAAGGACTCGGCCGGGACCAAACCATCTTGCGACTCGGAGTCGAGTCACATCCACAACTTCATGACCTGGCCGATCACGAGGAGCTTTATGCCGTCGGTAGTAGACCAGGTCACCAGGAATGAACTGCTTGCTGGGAGGTGCCCGGGTGTTGACCGCCCTGCTGAGCTTCTGCTTGTAGTGCTGGTCCTTGTAGAACTCCTCTGCTCGCCTTCGAAGTTGGAGATGCTGCTGCAGAGGATGTCCAGGAACATGCTGATTGACGGTGATGGGCAGTCGGTCTTCATCATTGGGAAAACGTCCCCATGCCCATTGGATTGGAGCGAAGCCACCCACACGGGCCTCGGTGTTGTGAGCCGCGGCCATGGCATACGCTGCCTCTTTCGGGGATGAGGTACGAACTTCACGAAGGAACAGCTCCATCTTTCGCCGAAGGTCTCCCACAGCACGCTCAACATCTCCAGTTGAAGAGTGATGCTCCGCCGGGACGTGGATGAGCTCAATCCCGCGGTCCGCACAGAAATCTTCGAGAAGGCGTCCACGAAAACATCCTTCTGGGTCACACCTGAAGCGCCTGGGGATGCCAAAGATCTGGATCCACACTCGCTGGAAGACCTCCAACATTTGCGGGGTGGCCACATTCTCAGCCTGGTCGTCCTCGTGCTGGATGATCTCCTCCACCACGCAGAACCCTGAGGCCTCGTCCACGAAGAGGAGGAAGTGGTGTACCACCTGGCCAACCCGCATGTAAAAGGTGTCCGCTTGCACGGTGTCCCAGAGTACTTCTGCCTTCTCCAAAGACACCCGAGTAGCCGGAGTTGCCATCTGACCTTCGACACATTCATCGCACCTGATGTTCTGGGCGATGATCAGCATCTTCTCATCTGCGCCTCTAGCCTTCAGAGCTTTGACTAGAGCGCGATTGCTAGGATGCCCACTCCGTCGATGAAGCTGGAGGACGTTCAGGGCTAACTTCTGAAGCTCCTGGTCGGTAAGCGTCTGAATGGAGGTGATGCTCGGCTCTTCCACGGTGAACACCTCCTCAAAGGGCTGAAGTAGTGCCTTGCTGACTGCTCGACAGAACTCAGGAGAGTATCGACCAGTTCGTTCAGGAAGTCCTCCGCCCAGACATGGAGCGTGTCGATGGTCCATAGGGCATTCACGGGCAATGTGATGGAAGTGCATGGGGTCTGTTACTCGGATTCTCCAAGGCTTCTTGACAGGGACGCCCTTGTGCTGGATCCCGTGCTGGCACCCATCCACAAAGATGTCGTGGCAACGGCCCTGATGGTCAAGCTCTTGCCAGAACTTGACGACCATGGGCAGCCTCCACCCACCGTTGTGGCGAGGCCATTCCCAAGCAATGCGGCCTCCAAGTTCAAGATGTAGCCGAAGAACTTCTAGGCCACGACTAACAAGACGTCGACTTCGAGCTCGGCGTTTCCAGCTCTTAAGGCGTCCTTCCTCCGTGATCTCGTTGAGGTTCTGGATCTGGGATTCGGCACTACACGGAAAGGATACCCAGATCCACGAAGGGCGATGATCACGTACAAGTTGCTTGGCTCTTTCAAGGCCATCAGCCTTCTGGAGGTCGCAGGAGTTGAACAATCCGGCCCGACCGGCACGTCCACCTTGTTGGATGATGGTCTTGGTGAGTAGGCTCTCCTCCTCGCAGCAAAGCTCCAAGACATCCCACTTCTCTGGAGGTACTCCATGGGCATTGAAGATCTCATCCATGTCCTGCAAGTGGTCCCAACCTTGCTGCATGAGGAAGTTGATTTGGTCGTGGCCAAGCTCCTGAACTTGCTCTCTCTGGTAGAGGGCCTCGACATCAACGTGGATCGGAGGTGATAGTGCATGAGGTCGAGCGTCTTCATGAAGTTCAGGAACAGGATCTAGTTCCGGTTGGCATACTCCAGGGCCTCCAGGCCCTCCTCGGACTTGCGGCCTGCTTTGCGACCTGGAGTGTATGACATCTCCTCGGGGTTGGTGACAACAGCCCATGAAGGAGATTCCTGGCTTCCACCTCCCTCGGACTTGTTCTCGGTCTCCCTGGTCGTGCCCTTCTCGGTCTCCTGGGGCTTCGCGGTCTCCGGGGTGATGCCGGACTTCCGGTAGTGCTCGGCCTTCTGGGACTGGATCTTGGCGAGGCGGTCGAGGAGACTCTTCTCGGCTCCATCCAGGGCGATGGTCTTGTCTCGCATCTGCGGATGAAATGGAGCTTCGTTCTTGAGCTTCTCGACCTGAGCTGTGGTGTCCACCGGCAAGGGACCTGCCGACCGATGAATCCCAGTCGCTCCGAAAGCCGGGGTGTACGACAGGCGCAGCTTGCACCTCTCGCAACCGACCCACTTGGCGTGGCCGTTTGCCCCGCTCACCGAGCCACGATATGGAGCGGCTGGAAGATGATTCCCCCAGCAGGGCTCCCCCGTGGTGCGCGGGTCCCGGGGATCTGGACCGGTGGAGCGAGCCTCGTCGTACTTCAGCAGGTTCTTGCCAGTCGTGTCCTGCTTGGACTTGGGCTTGCCCTTGGACTTGCCCTTTGCGGACGAAGCTGCTGTTGAGGGAGTCGAGGACGCTTCCATTGGTGAGGTCCTCTTGCGAATTGGAAAAGGTGAGTAAGGCTAAGAGATGCCAATGCATCTCATCAATGTGAGCCAGTGGCTGCAGCGGTTCGCCATGAAATTCATCACAACCAGGATCAAGCGCACATGGAAGAGGCTCTGGTGGACAATGATTCCGCCGTGAAGCAAGGCAATTCCAGTCGTTGTCATCCCTGGTCATGAACACATCACTGACACTCGGTGCAAACATGTATGCGCCATCAGACTGGTCCTGTACCTGGTTTGGTGACACAACCGGGTTCCCAAAACAAGTGGTGTTCATCGCCACCGCCATGCATACATCTACACCGCTGTGAGGTGCTTGATCCACCGGCTCAGAGGAAGTTGCCATAGATGAGCTGTTGAACGCCGTGGATGTCCCGCTGACCTGGTAACCGGGAAACGCCTGGGCCTCGTGTGAACTTGCCATAGGGAAAATCCTCGGATCTTGGTAGTGCATGAAGTTCGGAGTGATGGGAATTCGCTGTCCATACCCCATCCAATCCGTCCGCATGTTCAGCAGCAAGTGGCCGGTGGTGGATCGGATGAGGGGAATCACCAGGTAGGGATCCACCGCCTTCATGACAATGAGGCTCTTACCAAGGTCAATGATCGCCTGCAACTTCTCCAGGGTGCGGGCCCGATGAGCAATGGCACACCCTCCGCGTCCAAGGTGTAGACACCCAAGTGAAAGAGTTGTCCACCCACCGTCTGGGGCAGGAGCATGTAGGACTCGGAGAACTGCCTCTGCCCATTGCCAAAACGAAAGCACTTCTTCTCCTGCGGTACCACGGACACAGGCTCATTGATCAACCCGTTCAAGCGGCGGCCCTCCAAGATCTTCTCGACCGCGCCAAGTGAAGCCACTGTCTCCGTGGCACCCGTGTCCAGAACGCCGAAACCTTCCACGTCTGGGTGCTGAATGGCCATGAGGATGATCCCGGGGACTGCAGGAGCGGGGGAGATGGACTCTCCACCAGGGTGACCTCCGGGAAAAGTCATCCGGGCTGGAGAGTCAGGCTCAACCACAAAGGTCTCCCCATCTGGCTGGGTTCCTGCTGGAGCCCCACGAGCTGGGGAGGCAGGCCCGACTGCACTGTCCCCGTCTTCGGTCTCGGTTTCTGGATAAGGTTCACCAGGAGGAAACAGAGGACGAACTGCAGAGTTGGGATTAACCCAATCATCTTCATCCACTTCCACTTCGTCCACAGAGAAGACCTGGTCCGCAAAGGAGACGTGGCCCTTGCCGTAGGTCTTGCCTGTCCCTTTTCCTTTTCCACGTCAAGGGCAATGACGGAAATCGTGTGACTTGTCCCCGCAAATGAAGCAACCCGAATATCCCGGAGCGCCGGGGGTGGCCGCCAAAACTGAGGGCAGCACCGGTGCCGAAGGAGTAGAAGTGGTCGTAGCTGCCAGCACTGCCTGAGTGGGCTGTCCCTTGGTTTTGCCACCGCCCTTCTTCCCTTTTCCTTTGCCCTTGCCATAGCAGCCTCGGGAGGCCCCTTTGGCTGCCATGAGCTGCCGGGCCTGGGAAAAGGTCCGCGGCTTGTCCTGGTAGAAGGTGGCGGCGTCGGTCTGTTGCTTCTGCTCCTCCGGGGTGGCCGCCCACCAGGCTGCCTCCGTCTCCCACTGACTCCAGGACCAAAACACACCGTTGCCGTCCTGGAAGTAGTACTCACCGTCCATCGGGTCTTGCTTCCACAGGGTGTAGGCTCCGTCATCCTCATGATTCCAGAACTGCTCGATGTAGGGGTCCACCGCAAGTTCCGCTGTGAAAGCTTCCTCCACTGGCGCATGAGATGGAGCCTCAACCCAGTGGATGCTCGCCTGGTCGGTGATGTCCTCAAAAATGTCTTCGCTGCTCAGCAAGATGCCCCACTGACCGTCCTGCTCCACCCAGAACGAGCGGCCTCCACGTCCTTTTCCACCACCATGCCCTTTTCCAGAATCGCGCTCCATGAACCTGAGCTCTTCTTCTGCTGCTCGAAGTCCCCTCTCGACAGCCTCCGCCTTCAGGGAGTTCTGGATGGCGGAAAGCACGTTAAGCCGCTGCGTGGGGTTCAGGCCGGAGCGGCGCAGCATAATCCAACCAAGCAACTCATCTGGCAGAGCAGGAGGTAGCTGGGTGTCCAAATCCTGCCAGATGTTCTGAGCACCATCTGATGACTCTGACGAAGTTGAGGTCCCTCGCTTCCTCGTTGATCGATCTTTTCCTTTACCACCATCTCTACTGCCCTTGCCGAAGAACTCGTCCCACGTCGGTTCTGCTTCTGGAGGTTCTCCCGCATCATCTTCTTCTTCATCACGATCTTGATCTTCCTGATCATCACCTTCAGGAGCACCTGGGTCGTCCCGAGAGGGATGAGGTGAGCCTCCAAGAAGATCAGAACCTCGTGCTCCACGCCTGGCCGTAGGTGAGGAACTCAGCGCACTTCGCGTTGTTGGGCTCCCAGGAGAAGTAGGGTCCTCAGCACGAGCTCTCTTCAGGGCACGCTGCAGCTGTCGATGCGCTTCACGAACATTGTGACACCAGGATGCCATGGTCATGTGAGGTGGCCTCCGCAATCGGACCAACAGCTCCTCCGCCTTGGCGCCTGCATCCGGTATGGGAACTTTACCAAGTCGCTTCTCGAGGAATTCCAAGAGATAGCGAGCACCGTCAGGTCGCGTGAGAAGGCCGTGGTCAAGTTCCTGGGTCACAATCCAAGCGCGCCCCGTGAGCTGGGATGCTAGTTCGGCTCCGAGGTGTCGTCGCCGTCGCTTGCGAGTCTGCTCCCAAGCCAGCCGAACTCGCCGAACATAATCTTGCCATGTTGAAAAATCTCCATCCCAGGGAACACGAAGAGAGCCCTTGGCCGTGTCCCCCATCTCCTCCTCCCAGCCCTGTCTCAACCGTGTCAGGCGGTGCCACGGTTGATCCAGGGCTCCGCTACCAGTTTCACTGGTAGCCCGGCTGTGCAACTCAAAGGAGAAAGAACTGCACACACTTGTTTTCTCAGCCGGGTAGTCCAGCTCAATGTCGATGTGGCTTCGTCACGAAGCCAGCCGATCCACATGTAGCGCGCGTTCCGTAAGGAACGTCTTGGCAAAAGGGTCCCCTGGGTATTTGGGCCAGAAGGACCGCAAAAGGCGATAAATCAAATCAATTCCATGCAAATGGCTGAAGCTCTGGAGCCTGACGTGAAAACACTGACAGATGATTTACAGTATTCCCACCTCTTCCCAGGTTATCAGCCGTAGCGCTCGCGCACGGTTGCCACGTTGTAGCGTACGTTGTGTGCGTGGAATCGAGACTTTCAATTGCTGTGCAATATCAATTGGCTTTTGCAGTGAAGAGCTATGTCCGAGGGCCGTGGAGACGGAGGATCCGAATCTTCAGTAACCTTCGGTGGCTCCGCTGGAAGGGCTATGCCAGCTACTGGACTTTCCAGTAACGCTTCGCCGGAGCCCGGCGCAGGAAGCGGTCAATCATTGGTGGTCGTAACCCCGGTTGGGGGAACTACTGCTTCGTCACAGGTTGTCGAGGAGGTGAACATGGAAGCCGTGCAGGTCATGACCCCTAGAGTACGACCTGCCGAGGACGAAGCAGCTACTGAGGTACGGAAAGCGAGGAGATCGACGAAGTCAAGTTCTCCGCGATCCGCTGCCCCTAACGCAGACGAGCAGCTGGAGAGTGATTTGCTTGTTCATGCGTTGAAGGCGTCTCTGCGACTGGTTGAAGCAGAAATGGAAAACAAAGAAGAACAGGCACGAGAGAGAATAGTTGCCTTGGAGTCGAGAATTAAGGATCTAGTGTCCGATGATGAGGGAAGTACGATGAGAATTGAACAGCTAGAGAGAGCCCGAGACATTTCATCTGAGCAGGCGGCTCAACCAATGAGGGGATGAGATTACTTTCCGATATCGTTCTTCAGAATCAACTTGGCGAGTTGAAGTCGGAGCACAAGGCCCAGATGGATAAAATCGAGGGTTCCATGAATATGGCTGAACGAAGATGGAATAACAGTGAGAATCGGATTTCCGAGATGAGGGATGTAGGTCGGAATCTCGAGAAAGAACTGGATAGTTCGAAGAGGGACGAGGAGCTCGTCGCTCATGAATTGAGGACTGTTCGAGGGGAAGTTGCAAGCTTGAGGTTCAAGGGACGAAGTTTCCGAGAATGCTGAGGTGTCCAGGACTAAGCTTCGACAGGAGCATCAGGCCTCCGAATCTAGTCAGGCCGATGTGATCGGAGCTTTGAGGGGCACGACACCATTCGTGGCATGAATACGGGTCAGGAAATGAGTGAGATGATGGAACATGCTGAGAGAGTTGCGACAGAAGAAAGCCGTACTGTGGAACGCAATGCTATGGCCAGGATGAGCAACGAGTTCGATGAGGTGAAAGCGGTTGCGAGCAAGAAGTACGATGGCTTGGTTGATCAGCTTGCTAAGGAGGAAGGCGAATGTCGGAAGTTGCTTGCTGAGAATGATCAGTTGATCAAGGCCAAAGGGAAGCCCGATGAAGCGACTGCTTGGTTGAGGGAAGAATTGACCGAGGACCGTCGGAAGGTTTCCCGACATCGAGAGAAGTGCTCGCAAGAGGATGAACGACCTGGACAGGATCATGGTGTTCATGAGGTCCGAAGTGGCAGAATCAAAGGAAGCCGCTTCTAAGGCAAGAGATGAGCAGGTGGCTAGCCAACTTGACTACTACAAGAAAGAGAATGCTGCCATGGAGGATGAGTGTATTTCCGAAACCCGGACGGCAAGGAAGCACAAAGATCGAAAGGAAGACTACCGTGCGGAGTTCGATCAGGCGCAGGAGAGACTCGAGGAGACCGAGGGGGAGTTGGAAGCAGCTCTTGCAGCGGTCAGATCTTCGGCCAGGAAGGAGTTGGAAGTTTCTCCACCTCCGGGATTCGGACGAACCTATCGACCCAGGTCCACTTTACCGGTCCTGCGTTACCATATGCATCTGTTCCAGCGCCTGGCGGATCATCTCCCCGGTCTACCGTTAGCCGGAGCTTGGAGGAAAAGATCAGCCGAAAAGAATCTGAGTCAGTGACTATTCCGCCGTGGCCCAAGATCGATCAGCTTGACATCTGAAAAAGCAGGCTGACGTCCAATGTCCTTGCAGCGTGCGGAGATCCGGATGCAGATGCATGGACAGCTTGGTTGGCAAGATCATTTGACCCGAGCGTGACCGTCACAGCGAATCCACGAGATTTTCGGGAATTGATCATAAACTGGTCACTGGGCTGGACAAGTTTCAAGAATGCGGGAGATGTCGCCAAGGAGGTGTTGATGGAGGTTCAGTCTCTGATGTCTCGCAACATCAAGATCGGGAAGTCTATCAGAGGAAGACAGATCATTGCAATCATGCTTGAAAGCTTCCGGACGTTCGACCGACTCGACCTTCTGTGTAGCATGGAGCATCTCTACAAGCTCAGCTACTACGGAGACAAGAAGATGCAAGACTTCAAACAGAAATGGAACGACATTCTTGCAAACATGAATCCTGACGAGAAGCCTAAAGATGTCCAATTGCGTGACATGCTTTACCGAAAGCTTCGCGACAACTCCAAGGCATTGGAATTGGATATGCAGGTGTGCGCCAACATGGATATGAGCGATCCGAACAAGAGCTACAGCTACTTGATCTGGCCGGTCATTAAGGACATGCTTTTTATGCCTTTTTTTTGGTGCTTTTTTGGACCGAAAACCTTGTTTTTTCGCGTGCGCGTTCTTTGTCAAAACAATCCGTTTTTCGGAAGTGTTTTTTTGCCGAAAATCTTGGGGAGGGAGGGAGGGGGGAGGGGGGGAAGAATTTTGGGATGCGCTCTTACTCCGAGGTGGCTTGAACTTGACTTGCGTTGCTGCATGGCCAAAAGGACCCCAAAGAAGAAAGTCAAGAGGGAAGGGGCGGGATCCGCTTGGGCAGAAACATGCAGCAGGGGAACTTGGCAGCCTACTGGTTACAATCGTTGGCCACCTTAGCAGCCGATAAGCAAGAAGCAAAAGGCCGTGCACGCGCAGCTGCTCTCTTTTTTTCCGGCATTGCCCCATGCCAATGGAAAAGAGATACAGCTGGACAGCGCCAGTGAGACCCCGTCATATGGCAGCTGCCAGGTTTGCCTCAGGCACTGGCGCTGGCTGCTTTCGCCTCAAAACAAACTGCGCGAGCGCAGTTTGTCATAAGCGCAAGCTGGTCCAACTTGCTGTTTAAATCACGCAGGGCCTCTTCAAGCCGCGCGTTCTTTTCAGCTGCTTCACGGAATTTCTGCTCAGCCTGGCGGAGACGGTCACACCAGTCCCGTGCACCCATGGTAGTGCTTTTGGTCCAGAAATCTAATTCTTTCTTCATGGAGTCATTGTCCAGCCGCAGCCGATCTACTTCAGCAAGCAACTCATCATGGTTTTGGAGATTCAATAGTTCTTCCTTGGTGAGTCGCACACGGATGTTGCAGCGCCGGCTGTTCTCGTACCTGGCCCAGTGCAGTTTGCAAAGATGTTTTGGGCAGGCTCAAGAACACAGTTGAAGAGATAATAAAACACATACTACAATTATTGACTGAACTGTTATTCCAAGCTGCCGTCTCTTAGTTGCAGTTTTGACATTCACGGGGTCGGCCTGCAGCTTCTTGGTGTTCTTCATCTCCCCCAGCTCGCTCTTTATCACAACCATGGCACGCCCCCTTTGGCAACGGCGACGTGAAGTCAGGCGGCTGGAGCTTGACAAAGAAAGTAGCGAGAGTCCACCCCCTGCCCAGATCTTTTCAATGCTGGCCCATAAGAGTTTGTCAATGGTCGAAAGGTTCAACTACCGGCAAGTCAAGCTTATATCCAAGCACCACAAGAAAAAACTACCCGTTCGGGCCTCGAAGAACCGTTCCATTCGGGCACTGGGCTCGGGCCCGAAAAAGTCATTCCATTCGCATTCGGGTCCCGAAAAGATGGCTGGTGGACACAAATGTGCAGATTGAAACGGTGGCCTCCAAAGAGCCCCTGGAGAAACATCCGCAGCCAAGAGCCCCGGGCCCCGAAAAGTTGTTCGATTCGGGCCCCGATTCGGGCCCCGAAAAGCTGTTCCATTCGGGTCCCGGATTCGGCCCCCGAAAAGTCGTATACCATTCGGGCCTCGAAAAGATGGCTGGTGGACACAAATGTGCAGATTGAAA